AGAGAGAGAGAGAGAGAGAGAGAGAGAGAGAGAGAGAGAGAGAGAGTAGGTTGGGCGGGGCAGGCGGGAGGAAGAAGACACATGTCACGACGCTATCGCGAGGGTGCAGGAGGCCCATGGTGGGCGAGCGGACCCGGCTCCACCAAAGCCCTACAAAAGTCCCCCACTTATTCACATCCACATTGGGCCGCAGCGGCAGGGTCCGGCGACGGCTTGGCGGCAGCACGCTCCCTCTTCCTCTCTAGCTGCCCCCAAAACCCATCGACCATTCGGTATGGTGCGGGCACCCGTCACATCTCAGACACCCTACCACCCATACTCCCCGGCAAACGGAACGAAAACGGATGTCCGGCGAAACCACAGTAGCCAGGACCAGGGACCAGGGAAAGGGGAGGGGGGTCAGCCAGGCAGCCCATAGCGCGCACACATCCCGCCCCGCCCCGCCCCGCCCCGCCGCCGCTGCGCTCGGCCGGCCACACTTCCTGGCGCACGCACAGACCGGCGCCATTTAAAAATTATGCTATCGATTGAGGCGGGCGGCGGCGGCGGCGGCAGCAGTCAGAGAGAAAAACCAGAGCAGCGCAGGCGAGCAGCGGGACGCGACCAGACCACCGTCAAAATGCCCTGGCGACGCGGTTGTTAGAGTCGCTGCATCCACTGCTAAAAACCAATACATTACACTATCTGCCGATTTCCAAATGAGAAATTTCGAGGATGTCAAATTGTAAAATATTATGCATAAGTTTCATATGAAACTTTGTATGTTGACTGTTGTAAAATATTATGAAACTTTGTTGCAGTCTCATAAAACTTTCTTCAACGAGCAGCCCTATTCAGAATTTCGTAAATTATTTACAACACCGCGTTTTTGTGTGAATCGTCAACTACTCATAAAATAGTGTGAATGCAAAAATGCAAAACTGCAAATTGGCAAAAAATCATCGGTCGCAGTGTGTCCGCGTGCTCCATAGCCCATGGCGCCGTGCGGGTTAGGCAGCCCGCCCGCACGACTGCGCGCCGGTACAGCATCGCCGCACCATATCGGCTGCTGCTGTGACGCAGCAGCGCCACCGGATGACACATCTCTCCGCACGACACCCCACCGCCAACCAGTTACTCTACTTTTACAACATGCGCCGCCGTAAGTGCGCAC